GCTGCAGTGTACTCTCCCACCTAGTCCCCAGCCAGGGTTGATCAAGTCCCCCCGCCCTGCTCACTCGCTCTTCCTCCACGCCTGCTCGAACCTCTTCCTGAAGTAGATGGTGTCTTTCCTTACCGCGGGCCTGGCTAACCAAGGTCTTTGGAAAGTAGCCCAAGCCCGCTCTGCCTGTCGCCATGGTGCCCACCAGAGCCTTTTGTCTCAGGCGTGACGCTGCCACCTCCACTGCTTTCCCAGCCTTCCATTTCCTTCCTGTCCTCACCTCGATGCCGGCTGATGACACCTTACAGTCCCTGGAGTCCCTATACTGTAGGGCTTCTCTGGTGCGTACCACCTTAAATTCTTCTGTGAGACCACTGAAGGGCAACTGCAAGATGTTACTTGTCCCATACAGTGCAGCGCTGGTAAGACTGCGTGGAAGACCCAGCCACTTCCGAAGAAAGCCACTGATCTTCCTTTCTAGGGACTCAACTGTTGTCATTGGGACTTCATAGATCAGCAGGGGCCACAAGACTCGGGGCAGGATGGAATGCTGGTAGATCCAGGCTTTAAATCTACCAGGCAGACCGGACTTGTCAACCTTAGTGAGCCAAGCTCCAAGTTCTTTGTTGGACTTCTGGATGGCGGCAGAGTCTTTCAGGCTAGAGTCAAAAAGCTTCCCCAAACTCTTGACAGGTTGCTCCGCGATGGTTGGGATGACAGTTCCTGAGATCGAAAAACGGAACTTGTCAACCACTTTCCCCTTCTTCAGCACCATGGACCTTGACTTGGAGGGCTTAAAACTCATCCTTGCCCAGGTGATGAGTCTCTCAAGTCCTTGTAAGATCCACCTGCTCCCTGGGACCTGTATCGTTGTAATAGTTAGGTCATCCATATAGGCTCTTATAGGGGGCTGTTGTACTCCTGACTTGGTTAAGGGCCCTCTACATTCCACCTCGGCTGACTTGACCACCATGTTCATGGCAAGAGCGAAAAGAATAACAGAGATGGTACAGCCTGTTATTATTCCTTTCCCAATACGATGCCAGTCTGATGTTTCTGACCCTGAAGTGACCCGCATCCTAAAATTATTGTAGTAATCTAGGATCAGGTCCTTAATCTTACTGGGAACATGATGGAGGTGTAGAGTGAGCTCGACTAGCTTGTGCGGTATGGACCCATAGGCATTCGCCAGGTCCAACCACAAAACAACTAGGTCGCCTCTGTTCTCATGGGCCTCTCTGATGAGTTGTGTAACTACACCAGTATGTTCCAGGCAGCCGGGAGCTCCAGGAATCCCCCCCTTCTGCACTGAGGGGTCGATGTAGTTGTTCTTGAGGAGAAACTCTGTCAGTCTTCGTGAGACGATGCTAAAAAACACCTTCCCTTCAACACTCAATAGTGAGATGGTTCGAAACTGGTTGATGTTTTTCGAGTTCTCCTCTTTAGGAATCCACACTCCCTCAGCACACCTCCACTGGTCAGCAACTCTTCCTCTTCGCCAAATCACCTTCAAGATCTTCCACAGGTGCCGGAGAAGGTCTGGGCAGCGCTTATAGACCAAATAAGGTACGCCACTGGGGCCTGGAGTAGATGCTGAGCGAGCTGCCTTGATGATCTCCTCAACCTCCTTCAGACTTGGCCCCTTCAAGTTGAACTCTGTTGTTGGAGGGGCGGGGCTGACGAGAGCTTTGTTGGGCTCCAGGTCTTGCTCTCTCAGGGAATCGCTCACTGTGTCCTGGAGGAAGCGATTCACTTCCTCTATTGAGCACTCAAGCCGACCGCTACGCTTGTCCCCGAGCAGTTGTTTTGTAAAACCGAAGGGATTGGCAATAAAAGCCGCTCGCTTCCTGGCTCTTTCTCTCCCCCGTCTCCGGTGCCACTCTGCTCTGCGTAGGATCATCAGCTTCTTCCGCAGGATATTTTGCAGCTCTGCTAATGGTCGCTTCTCCTCATCAGTAGCTTTCTTGTACTGTTTCTTGAGGGTGCGAAGCTCCTGACGCAGATGATGTATCTTTGTAGCCCTACGGTTCATGGTGTAAAAGGTAGACTTGGTTTTTCCTTTCTCTACCCGGCCGAATCTTTCCAAGGCATAGCTGAAGATGATGGTAGTCATCGTTTGGAGTCGACTGTCAGCATCTCCTTTGGCTGTGGCTTGGATGATGTTGGACACATCCTTCTGCTCACTCGCTCTTCCTCCACGCCTGCTCGAACCTAATACTTTGGAAAGTATTATATTATATATAATATAATATAATATAATATAATATAATAAGGTAAATAAGATGGAAAAAACTCTCTATGTTTCCACTCTACAGTATGTTCAGCTGAATATTCTGTTTCCCTTCAAAATGCATCACAGCATGGAGGTTTGAAATATTGCAAACACCTTGCACATTTCCTGATGTCTTTAAGTTTGTTCAAACTGATCTCAGAGGTAACATGTAAAAGCCCATCTGTATACGTGAAATACAGGAACTGTGAGTAAGGAGCATTACGGGTGCCCGTTAACTGTGTGAATGAGATGATGTCCTTGATGGCTGGGACAGTTGATTGAAAGTTTCCTGGCATGATAATTAATCTTCATTCACATCAGCACATGGGGTCATTTAGCCTGTACAGGTGTATTTGAAAATTCTGCATAACCTTTCAGGGCTGCAGTCACTTGGCAAGGTTACAGTTTATCTTACAGTTTAGCCACACAGAAACAGAATGTGTAATTACAGTCCATTCACATGATGGTGCACATAGACCGATTTCAATGCTACAGATGTGTGCTGAGTCTCTCAAGGTCTCCTTCAGCACACTGTAGTTGATCAAGCTTTAGTATCTGTGTTTAAATAAAAGTTGTCTTAGAGTTGCAGTAAGTTGCTTGAATGAGACAGACTCTGTAAATAATAATACTGTATAATTGATGGAAGACTGAACCGCACTGCTCAGACTTAATGCAGTGCAAATTTAAAACCGTCAATAGTTTAAAGCTTGTTTATAGATCTTGGGGATCATTAAACACTAAAGCAAGATCTTTCAACCTTGTACTTAAATGCTGAGATTGTGTCAGGTGCACATGAGATGTGTGTTGTAGATATTAGCTACTATCGAACATGTTTGTGAGGCTTTAAATCGGAAGAGTACGGAATAAGAAGCGGTTCAACAGGTGGATCTGTGTGCATTAATCTTCGCTGAGAAAGACTTTGGCTTATAGCTGCATTTGCTTGGATCTCCATCTGGAAACTCTGACCACTGAAACACATTGGGGGGATTTGACTAATGAATGAGATGCAATCTATATTAAGCCTAATTTGCATAGAAAGGAGGCATGTTTACTTAAGTAATTATGGTGCAGCATTTATTCAGCACATTTAATGTCTGGCTAAACTGGATTGTACTGTAGGTGCTTAGAAATAAGACGTCTGTTTAGTTCATTTCTAAAAAAAAAATTAAAGGCTTAATAATAATAATAATAATAATAATAGTTATTCTAAAACTATAGATTCCAGATTAACAATAATATTGATAATCATAATAATATTAGTCATTCTAAAACTGTAGATTCAAAATTATTATTATTATTGTTGTTGTTGTTTTTGTGGAATATGTAATTGTTTTTTAGATTTAAATGATTGATTTCACATTCAACCTCTTCTGTTCATAGATTAAAGATAGTTAAGCAGCTTGTTTGCTAATAGTGGGATCTAAACAATATCCCTTGAAGGAATTTGTAATCGATCACCTGCCCAACACAGCCAGAACTGAACCAAAAGAGGAAATGAAAGCAACTGACAAACTTACTAAATGAAAACGGCTGGTTGCTGTTTCACCAAGAAACACAAACTATCTATTTACCCTTGTAGGCATAATCTTGTTATATATTTTCAAACGCATACATTAAGCTTGGCTGTATCGATCTCATATTACCAGCAAATTAGCAGAACCGCTGTGAATGTAGACTGGTAGTTAATCTTTTGTTAAGCCTTTGATAAATGACCAATGGCAATCAATGTCCATGAGAAATGGACATACATTTACTTGATGCTTTTCAGGTTAAAAACAAAACAAAACAAGATGAACTTAAAGAGACAGAAAGCAAGAGTTGTGAAACAGAAAGGTGTTGGTTTCAGGAAATGAAAGATGTGTTATTCACTGATGAGGATTGAATTTTGTAAGTATATTTGGTTTAGATTTTTTACAACATAAAATATAGCTCTTTTATAGCTCACTTCTAGGAATTTGTATTCATCTCTGTTATTGTTTGCGAATGTGTGGTATGAATGTGATTCATTATCAGTCCCTATCATAGTGGACTACTGTATGTAATTGATGTGATTGTAGGATTAAAGCGTCTACATGCCGTAAAACCTTTATTAAAAGCAAATCTCTGAATAGACTTAAAACCTCGGAATTTGTCTGTTTATTCATTCCCCAGATGAGCTGCAATTTAATTTTCAAACAGGGGCCACAGTGAACAGCATGGTACTCGCTTAAGTCGAGGGTGTTTCATTTGAGCAAAGTATGCTCTCACTTTTTCTATTGCTTTTCCTTCAATTGGATCAGAAGATTATCTGTCTGGATGAATGGCCTTTGTTTCTGTATATGTGTATTAGTCTCTCGGTGTAGACGGCACACTATTAAAGAGCAGTGGAATGTCATCAGCTCTGACAGGACTATGTGTGTTTGGGGAATATTTCACATTGGCCGCTGCTTGAATCTGCTTGTCTCCGCCCACTGTGCATGCGACATGCAGGAGGTGAGAAAAGCTAGCTAGCGTGCATCAGCGGTTACGTGTTTGGCATGTGTGCGCATGTGGGTGTGCTGTTTGGACTGAATAAACCTATTGAACAGGGACCCCTGTGTTTTCATGTCACCCATAGCAAGCAGGGAAACATCCCGTGGGTCTTTGCTTGGAAGTCTCTGAATTCTCGACAGCACTGTGACCTGTCAAATAAACCTCATTCTGACTGCATAGTGGTGCTTTGTTAAGCCATCTCATTTTCCCGTTTTCCTCATTTCTCTGCATACCAATGGCACTCCTGCTTCCCAAAGGGTTAAGGATCCAATCTTCCAACTGCCAGGATCTCGTCAGGTCCATGTATGCCGTTTGTTGATGTGCCATCCAGAGTGTGCTGAAAAGGCTTCTTGCTGATTAAAATGATGATTTAGTGGATGGTGGTGAACTGATTCCCTGAATAAGCCTCAAATGAAGTCTTTCAAATTAACTGCTTTCCCTTATCCATGTGAAGACTTATAAATAGAAGAACCTTTAAAGATGGGGAATATGTCAATCAAACTGCACCCCATGAAGATAACGCCTCATTAGCTACAGGTATATAGGGCTGAATTTAAAAACAAGGCCTTCTCTCGTTATATATCTACTACTTTAATGTGCTTTACGTTGTGTTACTGGCCAAAAAACTAATGTAAATAATATTCATAAATATTAAAATTGATTAAAAACTTAATATTTATGAATTAATAATTGCTGATGTGCATTTTAAGATGTCAGTACAAGATATTTTCAGTTAAGACAGCTTGAACATGCATTTTAGTCTGAGACTGGCCTGTAAATCCTGGGGGTAATGTTTATATAACGTTAGCTGTGCTCTCTTTTCACAGTTATGAGGGCCATACTTACACTTCCAAAGCATCTCTTTCATTTCTTCTTCCTTCCAAAACAAGAACCTAGATAGAACAGAAGTATATTCATCCGTTCTTGCTGGTCCGGGGTTCAAGCGCGGTTTTGTCCGCTGCAGGCGTGTGAGAAAACTAGCTAACGGATGAGAAATGTCCCGTTGTTTAGACAAACAACAATTTTCGCCGATCACAAACAGGAAAAGAAAGAGCGAAAAAAAGGTAAATGGCGGAAAATAACGTCCATACAACTAACTTATCTAAAACAAAGTTTCCACCTTCTCATCCACAGCTCGTTGAATTCACACACAATCACACAGTGACAAAATGGGTTCGTTAACTGACTCGCAGCACCAGTGTGAGGAGGTGTGGTCATGATATAAACTTAAAAATATGAGTTAATCTAACCTTGATATTTTACATTCATCAAAACAAATATGTCTTAGTTGAGCTCTTAATGAAAAATATTTATATTTATCAATGTTTTGAACTAAAAAAATATTACTTGAAAAATAAAACAAATAATGGTAAATTTAATTGAAAGACAAATTATTAATTGGATGAAGTACTGCTTGAAAAACTTTTTTCAGTGTGCACGGCGTGAGTCAGAACTTGCAGCTGTATGAATATGGAAGGACTTCTGTGAAGGACAGCGGCTCTCTGGAGTGTTTGAGGGTTGTTACTGAAGCCTTTCCTTGCATTAACAAGGCCATTAGGTGTGTGTCCATATTGTTACAACAGCACAGGAGGTCCTCCTTCAGGGACGAGACACCTGACAGCGGTGCTAAGCTTTTAAAGCTAAGAGTATCTTTACTGACATGTATCTCTGCTCATTATGCTCTCAAGTGTTCAGTAAAATGCACCATGATTGCCTCAGAAGGTGATGGCTGTCTTGAGGTGGGAGTTGTTGTCTAACAGATGAATGGAAATGGTTGTTTTAAGAGGCTGTATTAAGGCAAAAACAAGTTAAATTGGGTCCATGTTTGCTGGTGTTGAAGCAGGCAGGCTGGAATATGTGTGGTATTGTTCTGACTTTGAGAGAACGAGGTGGGTCTGACATACAGTCTCATTACAGGGGAGGTTGGCAGTGTTGCGAGCCGTGTCATCAATTATGAAGAACTTGTGTGGTGTGTAAGTGTGGGGCTTATGAATAAAGCAGTGTGTTTTTTGTTTATCCCAAAGGATTAGATGTGCTGACTGAGGTCAGGTTCTCTCTGGGGCTTTGGGTCACCAGAGTATAAACATCAGAGAGAAAAGCAGTCAGACCACTGGGATACGATGCAATGGGGAGGGTTGATCTCCTCCTGGATGTGTGTGTGTGTGTCAGTGTGTGTGTGTGTGTGTGTTTGTGTGCACGGAATGTTTTTGTATCCACACAATTTATAGCCAGGCCTTGCTGTACAGTCCAGCTTAAATTGGTAGCTGTATTTTGGAACATTGTAGCTGATTTTGAGCTGGATTTTAAGTGATCCAAGCTAGTCATAAGCTGATGCAAGCTGATCTTGGATCAGCAACAAACTAGACCAACTATCAGTTGGT